AGGCTGGGCATTAACAAGTTAATAAGTTAAAAGTTAAGTTAATTTTAACTTATTAACTAACTTATTAGTTCGCTGTTTTAATTAACTTAACTTTTATTTAACTCATTAGTGTCTACGTTAACTTAAAATCAACTTAAATTTTTTTAACATTCCCAATTAAGTCAATTTTGAATTTTCGTATAATCTAAAATATATTTTAGTTTATAACTGTTCGTCGATTTAAAATTCCTAGAATATTAGAAAATAAAAGATATTTTCGTATTTATTTTAAAAAAATAATAACTATTATGTTATACTAATTAAATATTGATACAATAATAAATTATAATTTAGAGATAACATTGTAACAATAGATATGACAATTAGTCGCTCATATGACAATAAATATAAGATATCAATAGCTACGAGCTCACGAAGTCAAATTTAATAATACCAGGTTTATTAGATACTCATTAATTATTATTTATTACTTTATATTTAATATTCATTAATATTTTATTTTATAATTAATATTTTTGTTGATTATCATGAATTGTGACCATTTTATTACAAAAATACCTACCTACCTTTAAATAGTGATTGATGATTTGTACATAGTTTTGTTTGACTAATGGCATCTATAAATATGTTAAATATTATATAATGATATAATAATCAAACATTGGTCATAATAATATTTGAATAATATAATTATAATTTTTAAGTTTCACAATTTATCATTGTTTTGTGTTTTAGTATATTTTTAGTCTTTTTTTTTTTATATAAATATAGCGTTTATTGAAAATTTACAATCTATACTATGGGTACATTAAGTAAATTTGAGGGAGGAATGACAGTGATGGGGCGGAGAAAAGGGAAACTCACAGTAGAGCTACCTTTACGATATTTTTAGTCTAGTAATTTTAACATATTACTATAAAGTGTGTATGTTTCCATATTGTATTATTATATTAATTAGTTGTAGTTAATTAATAATAATTATTTTATTAAATGACATACTATTGATGTATGATTAGCTATACAATGTTATATTTACATACATTTTTACGAATAAGACGTGTGAAATAAATATCGAATTTACTAAAAGGACATCAAAGTCTGGTAAAAATGAAAATAATATCATATGCGTGGCTTCTAAATTGTTTGGTAGTTTTAAGTCGACAGCTACAATATCATTGAGATGTTTTTTTTTTTTAATATTACTTATTTACGAATCATTATTCTATTATATTATGTATATCAATTATGGTACAGTAGCTTTTAATATCACTCTTTTTTTTCTTTACTATATTATGTATGTAAATTTATTATTTTTTTCATTTTGAAATTCAAAACTAAGTATTTATTACTTGCTGAGTGATTTTTAACGTGTTTGACAGTTAAATTTGTTGTTGCAAGTTTTATCTTTTATAACGAAGAATGATTAATTGTATAAATTATTTTCGCTGCTACACTGTATCTAACCTAATCTTGGGTTTTCGACATTAATTGTTATGTGTGCTCGTTACTTACTCACACCTTGATGATATTCATTACTATCCGACTGATCTCGTGGAATATTTGCTCTAAATGAGTCCAGTTCGTCCTGGATACGAAATAGCGGGATGAGCATATAATAAGAATGGTTAAAAAAAAACCGGATTGTAAATGACGGAGCCTTAGGGTGATGTAAATTCCAAACACAATTAATTATGCTCCGTTAATCCTGCAGGGCACATCGCTTAGCCCATATTTCACTTTCTGAGGTGGGATTTTAAGCTCCCCGGGTGTTGCGTAGTAGTAGTATTAATAGTAGTAATGGTAGTAGTAACAGAATTCTGTTGGTCAAGATTACCACGATGCTTTCTACTCTTTATATAGCTATTAAAAATCGTTTTTGACTTTAAACAAAAACTTTTGCACTTTTTTTTAGAGATTCCAAAATTGACGTGAACAAACTCCTCGTTCTCATCGTAGTGAAGATTTTTGCGTTATGAATGATAACTGCTGTGGTCCCTCCTTCTCCATAAAAAAAAAAAAAAAACTATCGTGGAATATGGTCCACCGAATCTACCACTACGAATATTTGATTTTGAGTTCAGATCTTTTTTTATTATTTATATATTTTATTATTCCTCACGAAAAACAAGATTAGTATCTCAATCAGACGTCTATGTTACCGTCCTTGACGGATGACCAATAAGGTATCCAAATAAAGATCAATTGGATTAGAGACAAACATCCATTTTAAACTGTCGCAGTTATCGTACATAGCTTTGTTTGAGATCTTACAGTTAGTTTTATGGGATTTAAAGAGTAAACATTTAGTACCATTAATCAATATAGTTTTAGAAGATTTTTTCGTTTTATATAATATGCTGACCACCCAATTAAGTTACAATTGATGATTTTTACAATAAAATTATTTTCACATAAAATTACGTACCTACGTCGTTCTCTGGATATAAGAATATATTTAGTTGATTTTAAAACTATTAATCTTACAAAATAAAATGTTAAGTTTTTTTTTTTATCAAATAGTTTTTGTTTTGTTTATTGCTGGATTAACAATTTGTGTTTTCATTAATGAAAAATAATAATAATAAAAAAAAAGCTGAAACAGAAAATGTATATGGTATTAATAATAATTTAACTTTTATTTATTTAAAATAATAACTTCTTATACACAAAATATTATGATTGTGTTCTAATATAATATTTTAAGTTTTATTTTATTGATTTTAAATTTTGAGAGATGTATGAATTGGTTTCAGAAGATTTATTATTTATCTATCTATATGTTTTAAAGCAGAAAAATTTGGGGTGCTATTAAAAAAATGTACAACAATTTCTAGAATACAGTTAAAATTTTTGTTATAACCGTTTATTTATTTTTTGTAAATTTGTTTTTTTTTTTTTAATGATTTTAATTATTTTATCGTAATTAAAAAATATAAATCGTAAGGATTGACTATTTTTCACCATTAATATTTTTACACACGTTTAAGTTTTCAAAATATTTAGATTGATTTTAAGCTATTTATATCATAAATCTATTTACACCGTTGTACAATACGTCAATATTGACAAAAATTAATGAAACTTAACAATACGATGCAATTTAATAAATGTGATTTTTTTGATAATATATAAGTTAATTAAATTACCAGAAGAAAAACAAATAACTAACAGTAATATAATTATAAGTAACTACTCAGAATCGCAATTCACATAAATTGATTATTGTTGGACTAAAATTCAAATTTACAGTTTGAGCTAGTGGCGGATCCAGAGTTGATTTTTTTTGTGGAAAGAGGGGGACGGAAGGCTCCTAAAACATTACTTTTGAGCCATATATACATTATAATGTTCTAGTTCACGTTTTCCTAAAAATACAAAAGAGAACGTTATTAATTTTATTAGGTTAGATTAGAAATCATTTATGTTATTTAGGTACATATCCCATAATAATTATACTATTATAAATTTTAATTACAAGTATTTTATTTTAAAATAACTTCTATGATACAAAATCGAATCTGCAATTATTTAATTAATTTAATCGATTACAATGCGTTATTACACAATTTAAAATAATTGTGTAAGTAAAAAGACTGTTGAAGAGGTCTGAGGAGAGGGTAGCTGAGGCCCCCTGGATCCGCCACTAGTTTGAGCAGGACTCATATACTTAATGACAAGGTAAAATCGAAACCTTCTATACTGCATAGCGAATTTAATGTTATCTATTTAACATTAAAGTTGTTAGTGCAATATTTAAAAAATCATAACTAATTCTTTATTTAAATTTATTTAAATTATATTCTGAGCTTAGTTATAACTTAAAAACTAATAAATGATGAATATATCAAAATGTTTAAAAAAAACAATTATATTTAATCATAAAAAATTGATGTATTTTTAATGGTAAATTTATTTTGAACACAAAGTTAAACTTTTAAAATGAAAAATCTATTACTTTTTATTTTTGAAACTTATGCATATTGCCTACTTTGCAGCGTATGTACCAACGAATGATGTGCATAAACAAATAATAAATATGCTTATAAGTTAACGTATAATATGAAAAGTTTAAATCTTGTTAGAAGAAAGGTCATGCATAAAATAAATACTTTTTCCAATACGATGCTATCAAAATAAAAAATAAAAAACGAATGAAACTTAAGATCTTTGGTATATAATAAATAGAATCCATATTTTCTAAAAAAAAAAAAAATGTATATCTACTAATTTTATTTACAACGTTCAAGATAAGTTATGAAAAACTCTATACTAATTTTGCTTCCTTATAATATAATTAAATTATTTGTCAAAAAACATAATATTTAATTCAAATAAAAAGACTAATTTGATATATATATCAATATTAAATAAAAATATATAATTATAATTTTTTATGTTCCCATATGTTCACAAAATCTAAATGCTATTTTTTATGTGTTTAATTTAAATCAATATTCTAAATTTATTATCTTATACTTTATTTTTCATTTGTTTTAGTTGAAGTTATTATTTTTGTAGATACTAAAAATTAATTAATTATGAAAATTAACAAAATTAACTTGTAAATTTAAAATTTATGTGGAGTATTACTAATACTTTTCTTTTAAAGAGATTCATGCTACGAATACTATTAACAAATATTATAATGATTTATTGTAGAGAGTTTATGTATAAATGTTTTTTTTTTACTATATTAAATAAAAATAAAAGTTTATCATTGATTTTAAATAACTTAATAGTAATTACTAATTAGTTATGATAAACCTTATCTAAATTTTAATATTTTTATTACAAAAGATGATCATTTTGTATAACTTGAATAATTTGTTAAATTAATGCTAATCATATTACTGTAAATAATTAAGAATAGTATTTAGATGTATTAGCTTAAAATTTAACTTTTTAAAAACAAACATACAATTAAAAGTAATATGAATTAAATACTTTTGTTACAAGTTTATTCATATTTAATTAATATTAGGTAATTTTAAATAACTTACCAAATATTATAAACTGATGATTGATATTGATCTTATCACTGTTCACCAATAAAATTCAATCTTCGCATAACTGTGAAAATATAACATAGACTCATATAAATAACAATTTTATTCAAATAATTCTTAAATATCTCTATATATAAATTCACAAAAGAACTAATCTAAGCTTAAATGATTTATTTTGTAATTTTTGTTTTAAAATAATGAATTTGATAAAATAAATAAATAATACCTATTACCTATGTAGGTTCTTGAGTATAATATAATATAAAGTACTTTATTTAATCTTTATTTGATAATAAACTAATGCGATTCAATATTATACTTTTAGATATGTACATTAAATTGAATGCATTGAAAATGTATTAAATTTATAATGCACAATAGAACTGTGTACAGTTATTTAATACTGAGACTATGCCAGTCAAGCAATTTTTATCTTTACAATTGTCAATTGAATTGTCACATTATTAAATAATTTTATATTACTTGTATAATATAAATTATATTTAAATCTGAGGTATTGAAACAAAAACGAATCATTAAATAATAACAAAAATTCTTAGACAATATTGAGTATTAATTGTTTATACTATAAGCAATATAAACCTAAAAGAATGAATGCAATGACAAAAACACTTAATAATAGCAGTTAAATTAATATTGAATGTGCATTTTAGAAGAAACTCATTAGGTTGATAAATATCACAAAGTGTGAAAAGAGCGAATCAAATAAGTACACTGCCAGTAGTGCAGGTAGCCTTAAACGAAGGGTAAAATTTCTTCATCGTATTATTAAGTTACGATAAATATTTAATTGCATTTTTATTAAGAATTAAAGTAGTAAGTATCATTTTATAAAAATAAAAAAATGAACAAATTATTTATTAACGAGATTACTATAATTTTTGACTTATAAATTACAAATAATACATATATTTTCAACAAACAATGTACCTATACATTAGTAAAAATAAATTATCAGTATTATCTAGTTATTTAACACCATATAAGTACTTACTAAACATTTAACTAGTTATTTATGAACTCTTTGGAACGATTAATTATAATATGTGTACCTATTATTTCATTGAATACTATATTTATTTTTGGCATGATACTGTGGTATGTACAATCGTAAAAATTTGAGTGATTTTAATAAGAGCGGATGTATTATGTATGCAATATGGATGAAACTTGGGGAAAATAGAAATCAAATCAATTACCATATTATACTAAATATGCATATTCATTTACAGTATATAATAATATACTGTTTTCCGTACTCATATACATGCATGTGTATATAATTATTTATATATACGTATAATAGTACTATAAACGTTAACTTCAATGTATTTGGTTTTTTCACAATTGTACAGTTTTTCACGATTTAGACGACGTAAGTGAATGAAAACATACAAAAAAAAATTATATTATGAATACTATGTTGTGCGGCTGCTGATATTATTACATGGATGTATTTAACTTGTTCATAATGGTGGACCTTAAAGATTTATTTATGAAATAATAACATGAAGTACTTATACAACTAATATATTGTACATACAGATACCTCGTTAATTGTATGCATTAAATTTACATAATATATAATTACAAGTTATTTTAACTATTTGTGTACAAAAACTTTGATACCACTTGTTAGGGTTTCTATTTACTTATGTAAACATTTGCTCGGGTTACCTTAACGTGATTAATATTTTGTTAAGACTAAGATGTTTGCTTACATTTTTTCCAACGTGTTTTTATTAAAACAAGAATAACAGAAAAATATTTTCAAATCGATGTAAACTTTTTGAATATACCACCCAAAAAATGCCTCTAAAACAATGCCAAATAGAAATGTAACATACCATTTAAAACCGACCATAGTTCAATGTATATTCAAAGTTTGAGTTTAAGTACTTGATCTATAAATTATAACATAAACGTACCCGCAGATTTTAATATTGTAGAACACCGGATTCTAGATCAAATTAGATTCAAAATACAATCATTGTATTAACAATGCTTACGCTTGAATTCCCAAAATAATTGTCAACATTTTCAATCAGTAGCCAATTACATATTCTGTTATACGAGTATACTTGTAAGAAATCGTACACGTTTGACATTTTGAATATGATCTCCTCACTAACAATAAATGTATTACCGAGAAAAATATACGTCATATTTTATTACAAGATTAGCTTGTAATATACACAATAGTTTCTATTTTGTTTATATACAAATGACTTTGGTACACGAACGTATTACGCGGGTTCGTGTACAATTTTCTCGCTCATTTACTTCAAGAGTTTACGAGTTTTTTTCTTTTTATAGCGGCTGTTATAATATTTTACTTTAAACATATAGATGCATGAAAGTATACAACTATAACCACACATACACGCACACATATAATATATGTATAACGATTGCTTTATAGTACAAGAAGCACTGTCAACATTCATTTAAACCACCTGCTTACTACAATTGCACCCATTGTAAACCACCATTTTTCCACTTTGGTTACATATATTATATGTATATGTTCTGTCGAACGCATTCAAATCGAGAACGCCTTTTGTAATTATTTTTTAAAATAATATATAGTTAAAATGATAGAGACAGACCAATTGAAATCCGAAACGAATTCATTAGAATTTTAAGTATAATATCTCAATTTTCGGAAAGGTTAAAGTCAAAAATTCAAAAATTTAAGAAAGTTTATTTTAAGTTGACTTTAAAAAAAAAAAAAAATCAAATCTATTTTTAGAATTTGTATCGCTTCACTAGATTAATCGGTACGTTGGAATAAAAATATGTCTTAATTTCTATACCTATTCCATGTGTGTTAGAAAAAGACAGAAATCACCGCTTCCAATCCCCTTAAACCATATGTAATGCAATCATAAATTATAATGTATCAATGTTTTTTAACCATTTTAGTAATTTTCTGGGTAAATAACGTAGTAACCTGAAGTTGTTACATGAACAATATTCGCTGTTTGTTATCTCGTCAGATTAAAACGATGAAAAATAGTTTAAATAACTAGATGCATTTACGTAACTATATATAAAGATACACGAATAATTTATAAATATATATTATTTTTTTTCTGATCTCGGAACATAGAGGTTAAAAATAACAAATACATCATACAAAAATAAGATTTTTATCTGTTACATAATAGTATAGGTACGTATTTAAAAATTTAGAACTGGAAATTGAATGGAATTATTTCAAATTATTAAAATACAATAACATTTAAATAAATCTGAAAACTTTTCAACTTCAAAAATAAGTGTCTAGATTCTGATGAGTAAAATAACTCGCGTCACAACATTAGCACTATGAAAAATATCTGTAAGGGTGCATAACATATCATTTAAACACTATGCAATTTTATTTTATTTTTATTGAAAGTCAATACAATATTCATGACATTTCCATACATGGCTATAGAGGTGAAATCATTAAAAACAGAAAGTGTTAATGTGGTAGATCGGCTTCATTTGCTTTTGAAAATAATACACCATTGGATAAGCGTGAAAAGTTTTGGAAAATGTTGGTTACACAATAAAATATAATAACAACTTTCAACGTTTGGCTCTCAGTGTAAATATAAATGTATGTCAAATATAGACTATTTGAGAATTTTTTTATTTACCTATTGAATTACATATGGACAATACAACGAAATTGTAAATTTTATGAACTCTTATTTGACTTAATATTAATTTTGTATATAATATAGTAGTACATATAAAACACAATAATAATATATTATAAATTAATAACAGATATCACTTTGATTATTTTAACATAAAATCGCATTTATATTATCTAATTTATTTAAACAGATGCAGTTTTTATTTATAGCAGTAAAAATTACTAGTATTTTGATTTAAACAAAAAAAAATAGTTTACGCTCAAATAATGACGTTATGAAGTATATACATTTTTGCGAGTATAGGTTTAGCTACCAACGCGTTTTTATATTTATTATAAAATATATATAAAATACATAATATATAATTTATTTTGGCATTTATGAATGGGTTTTTCACACTTTTTAAACTTTTTTAAAGTCTGCCTGTCTTACGTAGTATGCGATTTTTTTTCATTGATTATTTAAAAATATTATGTTGAGTTTTTTGATGTTTTGTCTTGTATGGTGTAAGCAGAAAATAATAATAATAATAATAATAATAAAAAATTACGAATTAATTCATAACTTATTAAATTGTTCAGTATTTTTTTTTATATATTTATTTAATTATGGCTTTACTTAATTAATGTAATTAAAATTAATATTTTTTATTATTTTTTATCGTCATATCTTAATTAAGATTTTTAAGACTTAAAATAGTTAAAATTTAATTTTTTTTTATAAAATATAAATAAATTATAATATTATAATGTTTTAAATCGATAAAAATTGTTGTATAGTTATAGACAATTCAAATACTTTTAAGATAATTATTTTTTTTGAATTATAAAATTAAAAAATAAAATAAAACTATTCATGGTCCTGTAAAACCTTCCAAATGTATTATTGATCATTTAATACTGGTTATAATATTTATAAAATATTTATACGTTTATGTTTTCGATGATATTTCGAATAAGTGATTATGTAACCAACGATAATCAAATCATTCAAATATTATATATATGTTACTCAAACAACAATGATTAAATCATAGTTTTTACAGAGATCAAACAAGTTAAAAAGAAATGAAACGAACTAGAAATACACGACAAGAGATCAGCGTAAAGATATATAGGTTTATAACAACTTTCACGTTCCTTTGTGTACCAAGCCATCATTCGCATTGAGTTACACACCTGTCGTTTTCCCACATCTCAGATTATTCTAAAACAACGGATTCTTTAGCCATCGGACACTTGACTGCGTATAACTCATAATTTTACGCTTCATTCCATATAACCAAGTACCTATTCCCGAGCTGATTGAATGATATTTTGTTTTTGATGTCGTAACAGTTGTAACTAGATATTTACATTTTATGAGTACACAACATTAATTTACGATTTATTAT